ATAATGAAGTATGCCATCGAATCTTATGCTCAATAAATGCTTTAACAGCAGCGTTATGAATGAGCATTTATGATGGAACCGAATGCAACAATTTACTTCGACTCTAACAAGAAATCTTCAAAACTCAACAATCAAATCGAAATTCAAACCTTTTTTGCCTTTTTCGGGTCTTTCTTGTTCACCGCAAAGACAGTCCAATACATCTTCAACGCATGCGATCACATCGGGATCAACAAAATGGTATGAATCCTCTGAACATGGAAATGGTTAAAACACAATCTTGTGATGTAGAATATGAAACTGAATGCGAATGAACTGAAATGAGATGTGAAGCAAATGACAATAATCTATATTTCGTAGGAAACAAGAAAATAACCTTTGATAGAAGGTGGATCGCGATGACACGTCACATCGAGGTTCACGGATGGATTGTGCGGTGCCGCGGAGGCGACACTTTCGACGAGAGTATTGCCAAGTCGAGGAATCATCCAATAGAAACGATGATAACGGTCCTAAATTTTTTTCATTCACTTACAGTTTTCTTTCTTTAAAAACGACACTCGTCAGAATATATCAACATCCTAATGAAGATAAAGCAAAGTCAACTATGCAATAGGCGTTTTCTTTCCGAACAGACATTCATATCAATTCAAGTGTCGATGCAAAAAGACATTCATATCAATACACCAAAAATTAACTCAAGTACTTGATTCCACATAGAATGAAACTGTTCGAACGAAGTGTCAATGAATCATTACCTGTCCTAATGGTTGTATGCGAACACGATCTCCTAATAAATTGTGCTTTTTGCGAAGTTCTTCAGCCTCCATATTCAACTTTTCTATATACACATCTAATTCTTCGACATTCATCCCTTCTTCCTGCAAACATTCATAAAATCAAAACCGCTCGAATAACACCAATTCACCTCCGTCTCATAATCAATCGCTATTTGAGAAATGACATCAAAAATGTCTGAGTTCGAAACATTCCACTGAGCAATCCAAATCCTACGAAAATACACATTCAGCAGAAAACGGATAGTGATATAGTTCGATAATCGGTTTACCTGTGGCGTAAGGATATCACACTGCCCTAATCCAGGAGTGAGTGCTTTCAAACGATGAACAACTGGTGCAGGTGACGGTTCGCGTTCCTCTGATCCTTCACCTTCAGAACGCATCGATCCGGGTGTTTCAGCACGACTCGAATCTGTCTCTTCACATTCCAATTTCAATTGCTGAAATCATTCAGTCATATGCACTCATCCTTTGAACATCAACAAATCACCACAAACAAAACGCTAATGAAACACACTCACTTTCTTGGTGTTATATGCACGTTTTCTGGCCTGCACGGCTCTCAGAGCACGACTTTTCCCTTCACGGAGCCATTTTTCACCTTTGAGACGCGTCATTTCTTCCATGTTGCCTTCGATTTCACGTACGATATTACGGCAATAGAGCAATTCATTACAGAGAAACGCCAAAATTGCAGCCTTCGATTCCGGGTCGAGATTCTCGAACGAACACTTCTCAAGACGAGCACCTAACTGCAAANAATTGCAGCCTTCGATTCCGGGTCGAGATTCTCGAACGAACACTTCTCAAGACGAGCACCTAACTGCAAAATAGAAAAGATACGATGACTCATCATATTCATCAAATTTCTGCGAACAGACAGTTATGCGATGAGATTCAGACATTGATTAGGAATCCAATAACATTTGAACAAAAATAAAACAAAATCATTACAAAACAATCAAAAATGTAAAAATTCGATTCTTATCAACTGAAAAGTTGTTTTCTACTTGAGCCAAACAGCACCAAACAATACAGATAGAATATGCGCCTACCTGTTTTCCCTGTTCATCTCGCGACTGCAAAAACATGCGCATCAACTCCGAGTAATTCTCTCGATGAATGCCCACATCTTTGAGTGCTTGACCGAGCGGTGTTCGACCGGCGATACCGGATGGCAATCCTGGATATTCCAACACCAATTGCAACAGAACTTTCGTTAAATTCAGAAAACTTCTCACGTGTTCCGCATCGTTCTGAAGACCCGCAACGAACTCACTTAACGTTGGTATTGTACGCTTCTCTGTAAAGATGAATATGAATGACAACAAGCTGCGATATCAAAAATCGTATTAGAAAAGATAATGAACTGAAATAATGAATATGGATGAAATTGTCATGCGGATTGACAGAAAGGGTTCTGAGTGAATTCCATTTGTGAGTTTTCTCGAAAGGAATATCATA